AGGAAATAAATAATATTTCGGACCACTTAAATCAAATTTGGATTATTTCCCCCGCCACGCTCGATGAGCTCTCTCGGCACACTTGATGGGTATCATTTGACGGTGTAGGTGTACCTAATGTTGTGGCCAGCTAGCGCCATAGTGATGTGCCAACGTTGATACACTCATCTCCGAATGGGAGCATGCATTATGGATTTGCCCTCCGCCAAGCCCTTCACATGCATTTTTTAAAAATCTGTGGATAACTGCGTGTGCGTGACATCGACTCGCACGCGCCATTGGAGAGCATATTCCTGGAAAGCCAGCTGCCACCCCTGTCTGTTATCACAGCTAACGCCATTAGCCGACAGCTTGCGCGCCTCTGCTATCTCCTGTGAGGTGCTGACCTTTAGCCGCCGCCACGCTAATGGTTGATCACTTAGATAAACACAGGCTTGCGTACAAGCACGCCCCGTTATTTTCCATCCCCATTGGCTTCGTGGATGCAGACTGTAATTAGGCCCCGGGGTAATTAGCTAGCTAATTGCTGCTGGTTTGGTATACTTACACGGCTTATCACCAAATCCAAAGGGGAAGCGTTGCTGTTGTTATTAATTATCCGTTCTTGGTATATTGACATGCAAACATGTACAAGCAACGCCCTCTATGACGCTATGATAGTCAAGGCTTGAAATAAGCGGTTTCACATTACCCATTGCGAGGCGAAATTAGCATTTTGAGCCTTATTAAAATACATTGACTAGAAAAACTGAGAATCAACCGACGAGACGTCCCCAAAAAGCTTCGCTGGGCTCCCGTCACCTACCGCTGGTAGTCGGAGGTTGAGGGAAGATCTGTGCTACTTACGCCGCAGTAGCTAGCTAGCAACAAGCTTTGGCTGGCTCCTCGGGCACCTAAACACGTTGCTGTGTCACTCACCAGTCGGTAGTCATCGCTGCCGTGGCGGCGAAGAAGCTACATTTCCAATAAGTTTCATTCTCACTTAAGGATGATGACAAAAGACTGAGAAACCATGCTAATTGCTAAGCGAACTTGAGAGTGACATGGCTAGCATGTTTCACACCAGATTCAAGTGCACGGGTGATTGAGTCCAGTTTTCACAGACGTTTGGCTGGTACAGTGTTCAAGAAAATACAGTTTGCTGCTCTACGTAATGTGTTTTAAGAAATACAAATTGTTGCTTCTTTATAGTTTGATAAAACTTTTGCTTTAATTAACTTGCAAAAAATTTGCTCTACAATATTCGAAAGTTGCTCCTCAAATGAAGTCGATTCGCAAAACTGCTCCGCAAAGGAAAAAAAAATGTTTTGAGTGTTGCTATGTGCTGTTGAAAGCAGTTCTGTGCATTTTTTCAACGGCTAGCAAGATTTGATTGTAGCCTCACTTCTATTTGTTAGTAAACCAGTATGTTTTTAAAAAAATTCTGGATATTACACTAAAGTTTCAGCAAAGCTCCTGAATCCCACGACAACGGGTCAACACGAGGCTGCATGGGTGCGCCGTTTTGAAAACACAAAGACTTTTTTTTTTTTTTTTTTTTTAATTGCAAACTCTGCATGGGTGCGCCGTTTTGAAAACACAAAGACTTAAATTGCAAACCGCTTAAATTTGTCCAGGTACTTGGATCAATTTTGGAGCGCGCCACATTCATGGCCAAGTGCAGGCTTGTGTTGCCATGCCGACGTAACCCAAAATGCAGAGTTGCATGGTGGCCGCCGATTGGCTGCGGCCCCATGCATGGGATTGTGATGCATGCTGTCATTGGGCCAATAGGATACAGGCTGAGCTTGGGCTGTTGCTAAGGGGAGTAGCTTGGAACGCGGTCAGCTGGGTTTACACTCTCTCTCTCTCTCTCTCAATCGTTTTTTAAGATCTCTCTCTCTCTCTCTCTCTCTCTCTCTCTCAATCGTTTTTTTAAGATCGCTCGCTCTCTTCTGCTGCTTTGCCCTCATTGACTCCCCCCCCATTGATGTCTTCTCCATCGCTCTCCCGATGCAATTTTTTTTTTAACACTTCAACACGTGTGAAAGGGGAAAGAGCACATGCTGGAAAAACTCACTGAATATTTAATGTGGTGTTGTGCTCCCTCTCTACAAGCTGCGCTGTGTGTTTGTGCATGCGTGTGTTTTCTTTGTTTGTATCTCATGTGTGTGAATGTTGGAGCATCGCAACACCAGCCCTCCACCCTTTTCGGTACCCCGCAGCCAGGCCCGTAACCTCCCTGTTGACTTCACACCTCCATGTGTACCCCCGCTGAACCCTGCCTTTAAACTTTTGTGACATCATAAACGCAACCCTACAGAGCTGCAATCAGTGTCAGCGCAGTGTAATTATTTATATGAATAGCACTTTGGGCTAACGGCGTTCATAATTTTATGGTCTACACAGAGAGGAGTTCCCGCCGCCAGGCAAAGCGGAGAAAGAAATGTATATTTTTTTTTGGTCAGAGCATCGCGATCTGATTGGTCACTTGTTGCTGGTGCTTGGCGTGCTTCTCATGCTGACTATTTTGCAAGTGAGGTGTGACTTGCTCATGCAGAACTGAACTGTCTAAAGTGAATTATGAGAAATTGGTTTATATATATTTTTTTTTATATATATACACACACACACACCCACACACGTGCAAAGATGGACAGCTGTGTACTCACTTGTGGAGATATAGCGTGACGCCGTTTCAGTTTTCCTGATTTTTGGGGCGGGGCTACAACAGTGCCACACTTTGTAGTTGAGCACGAATCACCCCTTCCCCGCAGTATGAAAACGCGAGTGCCTACATTTGCATGGCACAGTTGCGACATGCGGTCAGCTGGCTTGCTCTGCCTGTACCCAAAAAATGCATCTCCCCTTCAGACATCCTGATGACGTGGTTTATTTAGAGTGACTCATTGTGGACCTCGAGTTCCTGCATGTCATTCGGAGAAAGGCAGAAGAACGGCGATGGAGGATTTAAATACATAATAAAAATAAAAATCTGCCTCAACGTGGGCTTCACGCTGCCATGGATGCTTTTTCGGAGTGCCCCGTTGTGGTGTGAAAAAGCCTCATGATGACTTCGCTTTCCACCAATATATTTTCTTGGCTCAAACACGTAGTTATGTCGATTATTATATATGTATACAGCAGAAAGTCTGCAGCTTCTTTTAATTTGCCAGTGGGTGAGCTTTTTCAAAGGTGTGTTCGATGGTTGTTTTCACAATACTGTGAGTGGCGAGCAGCCTGCCATGCATCCAGCGCGCCACCATCCCAGCAGGAATGTCATACGTCACTCCAACAAAGCATCTGGCTCTCTCAACACATTTTCCCATTTCCTCCCAGCACACTTCCTGTTTCCTGGCTCTCATCCTCTCTTTGTTCAGCTCTCTCTCAGCCACATTTCTTCTCTCCTTCCGCTGTCATCACTCGCCTCTTTTTCCGCCTCCCCGCCTTTTGTGCGTGGAATGGATCCGCCGCGCCGAGGGGGATCGCTTAAGTGCGCCTTCCTGCTTGCGAATCAAAGTCCGCACGCAGCAACACTCACGCATCATTCATTCTTTAATAATCCTCCACATGAGCTATCCGGCGAACAGGCTGTGATGTTTGAGAGGGGATGCGTTCCACTCGCGCGTTGTGCGTGTGCGTGTGTGTCTGTGGTACCGCAGTAAGTTTCACTCCCAGTTGGAAATGACCAAAATAGTCACGAATGAGCACATGGCGACGTCTATTACATGTGGGTGGGAATGCATGTGCATGTCCTCCTCTAACAATGGAAAATGTTGTTCACGCACACACAGAGGAAGTTTCCAAGTGTGCAGCTGGCAGCGTGTTGGCGAGTGTAAAAATAGAAAATGGCACATTTTGGCTGTCATCTTAGAAATGGAAGAAGCTGCAGCTTCCTTGTGAGGATTCGTTTCATGCCTCGAAGGGTTCACTTGTTCGACGCTTGCCGTCTCGGCAATTTGTAGCGCTACATCCTTTGTGTGACGACACTCGGTAAATTTCAATTGTGAGTTGTGTTGTTTTCGAATGTGAGAGGCCTAAACTTGTCCGACTTCCAACATGTTGGCATTTCTCTCCTCTGATTGTCGAAGTGACAAGCCGAGATTGCACCCAATTCTTTATCTTCTACACAAAAGCGGTACTGGTCTCGAATCCAACGCAACACCGCCATCTACAGGAAGCTGTTCATCTTTGCAGTGTTTTACAAAGCTGAATTTGATTGGCGGTAGTGTATGACTTATTGCCAGCCCATCGTAAAACAGGATGGACCTTTTGACTTCTATTGCCGTCAATGGCAGTGAATGAGTTAATTCATAATCCACAAACATAGTGTTAATCAGAATACCACGTTTTGACTTTTTGACCCCTTTAATAGAAAGCAACATAACAAAAATCATCCGTTAGCGCTCAGTAATCTTTAATACTGACTGATTGGAAATACTTATAGCGTTGAACTTTTCGCCCAGCTTTACTCAGCACATCAGGCATCTATTTCAACATCATATTGACCAATTTGATTTGACTTTTTCATCGTTGACATATTAAAGATTAACGACTATATGTTAAAATGAAAGGACCTCCATTTTCCGACCGTAGTTTTAAGAACCGCTAGTCCAGCGCCTCCATTGTCTCATCTCTCTCTCTTGAACCTCTCAACTAGTGACCTCATCGATAAAAGGCTACTTTGTGGGGGAGGGTCCGGGTCAGGCGTGCGCCTGACCCCGATGAGGCCCCCCTGGCATAGTTTTGATTAAGTGTGGTTGGAGGGCTGGGGGGGGAGGCCCGATGTGTCGCTCTCTCCTGTCGTTGTGCGGTCGGTCGGTTGGTCAGGTGAGGGATGCTCAGTGCGAGGAAGACCAGGCTGGAGCCAGACGTAAACTGAAACCTGCGCGGAGAGGAAAGGCTTGGCGGAAACGTGAGCTGAGGTGATCCAACACGGAGGTCATTCCCACACACACACACATACACACACACACACACACACACACACACACACACACACACACACACACACGATGACGCAACGTCACAGCATCGTCGCCGTGGAGACTCCGATGGCTGATTTGAAAATGGACTTTGGTCATCCTTGCACCGTCCGACTGTAAAACATCATCGGTTGTCTAGTTCGGGAAAGTGGCACAAATGGATCATAAAACAGTGTTTACTCAGTCGCAACCTTGGCCCGGCGTCAAGGTGATCAAGGCAGCTCGGTTTCTCCTCGCCGGGCCGATGTTGTGATCCTTGACTCGGGACCGCCCCTGCAGCCGCTCGCTCCCTCGCCTCTCGGGCCTTTCCCGGGGGCAGCGCGGCGGTGCGGCGTGTCGCCTGGCGTCGAGCCAGGACAGACGGCCGCTCGCCTCTGCCAGCCTACCTCCCTCCCCCGAGAGCGCAGACAAAGCTGGGACCGGGCCAGGCACTTCATTCTGTCATTTTATCGCCTGCCTCTTTTTTTTTTTTTTTTTTTTTAATCTTTCTTTCTCTGTGGCTGTTGCTTGGTCTCTTTTATCGGCAACATCAGATTTCTTGATCCACCTTAAGCTGTCTGCCCTTTATTTACTGATTTATAGGGATATTCTATCCCATTTTTTTCAGGCTGATTCACTCTTTGGGTACTCACTGATACCGAGTACCGATACCTCTCATACTTAAAATTTCATTTAACACAAGGACGGGAAAACTGTGAGCAAAGACCTTTTTTCTGATGCAATTGATGATTCGCCGATGTGTCAAACTGCCACCGTCTAGCACCGACTACTGCTTGGTGGCTGGTATCGACAGCCTTCGTGACCACCCGATACCTTAAAATAAGACCGATAACAGTACTTACCCATCCATACTTACCTTTATTTATCCAGGTAAGACGTACTCTCCCATCGACCAAAAGTAGTGCCGATTTTGGTTCAGTATAACAAAGACGTTAATAAAACTCTCATGTTGTAAATTGAGGCCCAACTGATTTGATGGGGCAACCTATTTTGACCATCCTTTTCAACATCATCTTTATTGGCCAGAGTTTTCCCGATTAATCGGTTATTGAAATTTGTTTTCTGCCAAATATTTCAAACTGGCTTTGGTCTTAAAAAAAAAAAAAAAAAAAAATGCAGCTCAGTAAATTTCTAAGATTGTCTTCAACAAATGCGTAGACATTTTACATACACACTCGTTGCAGCGTGTGCGTTCCACGTGTCCGCCATCATCTCGCAGTGTGTGGCCCCGCCCACCCGCCACATCAAAACCGCCTGTCGATCCCATAAAGGCGAGCGCATGCCATCGTGTGCATGTGTCCGAGCCACCCGCAGCGCGAGCGTCATCAACCTCATTAGTTGACCACCCACGCCCTTTTACAGTAGATAGAAAAAGTCTACACACCCCTGTCCAAATGCCTTTTTGTTTTTGTGATATTAAGAAATGAGATGAAGAAATATAATTTCAAAGCCTTTTTGCGCCTTTTTGACCTATCACGCACAACCCAAAAAAAAACAAATGAGGTTGCACAAGGTGCCCAATTATAATCAAACTCATGCTAAGTACCTCCAAGTAATGCCAAATACATATCCGCTGTTCTAGTAGGCTTTTCGTGACTTTTTTTTTTTTCCCAAGGAAACCTGAAGGTTTTGTGCTTCCACTCACAATTTAGGACTGTTCATAAATGTCTTCACCTTGACTAAGGCCCCAGTTCCATCTGAAGAAAAACCTCAAAGCAGCATGCTTTGCTGTAGGTAAAGCCCAAAAGAAGTCATTCAGTGCGATGACGATCAATTGCAAGTGCAATTATCTGGTCCTTGAAAAAGCCAAATTTTAATCAACTACTTTTCCTTGACACTAACCGAGCAGATAAGAGTGGCTTCGATTATTTGCCTTATCTTTTTCTTCGTCCCACTCTCTCTCAAGGGCATGCTGACCTGTGTGTGTGTGTGTGTGTGTGTGTGTGTGTGTGTGTGTGTGTGTGTGTGTGTGTGTGTGTGTGTGTGTGTGTGTGTGTGTGTGCGCGTGTGTGTGTGTGTATGTGTATTCATGACATGTGTGAGGAAGCTTGGCGTCAGGATGTCTAATCTGACTGGTCGCCACTTTATCTGCAGGCCGCTCCGCCAGATCAGAGAGCGGGAGTGGGGGAGTGGGCTAAGAGGGTGTCAAGATGAGGAGTGAGGAGGAGGAGGATGCCGTGATGAAGGGCGGTAGGGTCCCGGTCTCCCCCTCTCCTCTCTCCCCACACCACCTAAAAAGCGTTTGATGTTAAAGTTTGCACGTGGCCAACACGGGAGGGAACTTCAAACGCTGTGCGGAATTGGAAAGCTGCTTGCCGTTCACCTCGCTTGCCCCTCTTCTCATTTCTCACACGCACGCACACACACTTGAGGATTTCCACAGTCGCACGTGGTGCTGAACTCATCCAGCATACCCGCAGTGGCCTTACAGCCATGTTTTCTTCTGTTGCTACGGCGCCCGTGTGTGTGTGTGTGTGTGTGTGTGTGTGTGTGTGTGTGTGTGTGTGTGTGTGTGTGTGTGTGTGTGTCACGTGCATGTGTGGCAGACACCGCACAGCTGCATGTGGTTTGTGTTTGTGTGTCTGACAGCGACTCACTCCCCCACACACATGCGTGCGCGCACACACACACACACACACACACACACACACACACACACACGCACAATGCCATATTCATCGACTCGTGTGTGTAAGAGGAGCCAGATGTGCACGTTTGTGTCGGACTTTTTGTTGTTCTTTTGTAGTTGCATGCAGGCTCTTTGGGTTCCATGTGCGCATTTGTGTGCGTTTGGGCGATTTCTTCAGTGCTGATTCGGCTGCTTTTTGGACTGGAATGCGTCACACATTGCATCACTTCATGCAGGGGCTGAACAATTCCTGAAATTCAAATCGACATTGCAATGTGGTGGAATGCGATTTTGGGAGGAAAAAATGGATTTTTCCTTCATGTGCTGTACTTTGTATGCAGTTGTGGTTGTTTGAGAGTCCGCTTATTACATCGTTGTATTGAGGGGGGCGGGGGTTGAAAATGGTTCAGCCCTCGTTTCCTAGGGACAGAGTGTTGTTGGAGGCTTCTGTTTCTGATGGTTCTATGGAGGAACAGCAAGACCCCGCTGAGGTCAAAGTTCAGGGCCAGACGTGCAAGGCCCTTGCACGTGCCTCGAGCAGGTGTCCTAGCAACTGGCCCGGGAAACTCCCACACTTGTGCATCTTTGAATCTTTTCATGCGCCTCCCTAACTTGTGGCATCTCTGTTATTTACGGCCGCCGTCGACCGGCCGCGGTTCGCATCCCGGCCTTTTGTGCGCCCTCTCTTGAGCCAACATTATTCCAAAGCCGGGACACTTGTAAGGACACGGCCGCCGCCCTCATTAGGCGCCCTATAACTCATAATGATGGCATCATAAAAGCAAGTGAGCTGAGGACTTATTAGGAGCCATAAATCACAGGCCGCCCTTGCCAGCCTTTAAAAAAAAAAACGCCTGTGGTGTTTAATCCGCTTTGTCAGCAAAATCTTTTTTTTTTTTTCCCTTCTTTTTTCCCACTCTCACTGGTGTGTTCCATGTGCAGACTGTCATACTCTCCTCGCTGAGCAGAGCAAGATGTCACGACGAAGGTGGCAAACAAAGGAGAGAGCTCGAGAGTTTGGGTGGGGGGGGCATAAAGGCACAGGGAGGGAGAGAGCCAATTAAAAAAAAAAAAATCACCCCCCACCCCCAACACACACATTATTCAAGTGAGATTTGCAGCCCGACATGCAGATGTGTGAGCACTTTAAATCCAGGCTCCCATCTGGCCTAAAAATAGTTGCTAAACTCACTCACCCTTCCCTCTTATGCAGCCCCCCACTCCAGCCGGATACCCACTCCCGAGTTCACGGGGCTCCCCGCCCTGCCGTGAAATGCGAGCTGCTCCCACTGTACATTCCGCTCCGAGCCAACTCCCCCGATAAAATTTTAGGGGAGCGGGGCTCGCCGTCACTCAGCCAAACAAAGGCGTTCGCTGATGGCGTTTAAAAGCGCTGAAGAGAAGCCGCTGCCTGCTGTGTCGCCAGGATGGAGTGCCTCAAGGCTCCGTCTCGGGGCTCCTCTTTGCTCTCATTTTCCATTCACGGCGTTCTGACGCGCCCTCGGGCTGTTGTGGTTTACCTGCAGTGCATACCTAGAAAGGCATGGAAACCCCCCCACCCCCCAAAAAAAACAAGTGGGTGGTGTCACAATCACGGATGTGCACAAAGCATGTCCGCGGGGGGAAATGCAAGCCCAGCAAGATTCACAGACCTACAACAAGATTCCCTCCTCCGCTCTCGTCATTGTTCAATCAAAGGATAATTTGTGGAGGAATTCCAGACGATAAAGGATTATCTGAGGAGAATTGCGGATGATGGAATATTGCAGCATTTACCTGAAACGATTGCTCCCGTCTTCCGGCAAATGAAGCCAAGAATTGCTTAAAATAGTCCCGTTTCATTGCGTTTACTGACAAGAATTGCTCACACAACATGGCAGGGACGTCCGATTAACGTGTGTACGACGTTGTCACACATCTGTGTCAGATTGCGTTGATCTCATCCTGTCCTACTTTTCCCGCTGCGACAAAACAAGCTGGCGGCTCCACCGACGCGTGTTGTTGCGCGGCGTTACATCACGCCGCCGCGTCGACACGATGTTGTTTGTTTGCATGTGGTCTTTACGTGCCGCTCGTGAGCGTTATTGTGGCCGCAGCGTGTGATTAGCGTGTGCGCGTGCCCGCCACTCTGTGTTTGTTCCTCTTTGTCTGTGCGTTACATCACGCTTTGTATTGTTTGATTAGATTTGTAGTTGGACTAGTTTGTTTTGTTTTTGTGTGTTTCTCATGTCAACAGTGGGGCCCGACATGGATTTTTTGAGGAAGATGTTCAATTCTGATACTGCGCCGAATAAAATTCCGATAACCGATTGATCGAACGATAGTTTTTAAAAAATATATAATGAATAAAAATCACTTTTTTTGGGGGGGGTGCCTTAATGGTTACAAAAATAAAAGTATGAATGATAAACAGAACGTTTGATTGTTTTAATATATTTTAACATAGCAGATAGAAGAAAAATAATGTAATTATTTTTTTTATTTTTTTTAAAGGAGGATATTTGAAAGAAAGAAAGCCCAAAAAATGTTTTGGGATGATTTTAAAATCTCGGCTAATTCAATCGGATGGCCGATTACTTGGTCAGGGCCGAGTCAGCAGTGTAGCATTGAGAACGTGATGTGTGTGTGTGTGTGTGTGTGTGTGTGTGTGTGTGTGTGTGTGTGTGTGTGTGTGTGTGTGTGTGTGTGTAGCTCATTAAACATTAACTGCCAATTAATTTATCTTTTCAAGCGCCTGTGGCCCTTTGAGCTTCATTCGTTTGGTTGTTGGGATACATTTGACGGGCTTTTTCCCATAGCAAATTCACCAGTGGGACTCCGTTGACATGACCCAACACAATTTTAGGAATTGGTGTTTGCTTGGTTTCTTCCATCCATCCATCCATCCATCCATTTTTCGACACATCCATTTTTCGACATGCTTTATCCTCACAAGGGTCACGGGGCGGGCTGGAGTCTATCCCATCTGTCTTTGGGCAGTAGGCGGGGGGCACAGAGACGAACAACCATCCGCTCTCGGGACAATTTGGAGTGTTCAATCAGCCTGCCACGCATGTTTTTGGAATGTGGGAGGAAAGTACCTGGAGAAAACCCACGCAGGCCGGGGGGTGAACATGCAAACTCCACACAGGAAAGCCCGAGCCGAGATCGAACCCACGACCTCTGCACTGTGAGGTCTACACGCTAACCACTCGCCCACCGGGCCACCCTTCTTGGTTTCCATCCGTCAAAATGTTTCGTAAGTTCACGACTCTCACTGAAGTGGATAAACGCCTTTCATATGAATTCACAGTTCATTTGCTGTACGCCTAACCTACAAAACCAAAGCATTCATGTATTATAACTCGGATGATGATGATTGTGATACAGACTCATTCATTTCCGGTGTTTGTTAAAAATTAAAAATTAAAAAAAAATACGCGGGACCGAAAAAAAATAAATTTGCATGTTGAGTCACAATCGCAATATTGAGGAAATAAAAAATCTGTTAATTTTTCACAAGTGCTCAGCCGGCAGCCCATTAAAAAAAAACAACATAATTGTGAATGCGTTAGCTAACAAACATAACAGTGCAAAGTGGCTGATGTGGAAACTTATGTTGCGACTGAACGACGTTGTGTGCCTGGACTGAGATGACTTGCCTCGACTTGCTTGCTTTTTTTTATCCCCCCCCCATCGTGACTTGGGACTCACAAGTTACATAACACTTGAGACTTATGATTTTAGTGCCTCTTGCTTTGTCGTGCTGGAACAACACAAAAGGAGATTCTCTGTCCTGCAGTGTTCCAGTGTCCCAGTCTTTCCAATGCGACTCGGTCTTATGTAATGCCTCCCAAAAAAGGGTCCGGTGCCCGTATTCATTTGCGCCCCCCCCCTTTCTTCTGTCGCCGCTCAATTAAATATTCTCCGAAATGCTTTGTTTCCCTCGCTTGTCTGCCTCCATTATCCAATACCGGCTGGCCACTTTATCGCCAACTCTCTGGCTGCATCCCATGATTCCCGGCGATTAGGCCCATCGCCTCGTCTTTTTCAACCCCATATCAGTCCATCTGCTTTCTCTTCTCTCTCTCTCTCCGGCACAAATACTAGAAATGCTTGCGCTCACTGGCGGGGGGCCAAATGGGTGACATGATAAATCAATATCGGCAGAGAATTATGTAATCTGCCTTCCTATTTGTCTGCGGCTGCTCCAAACCCCGCCCATCGACTCGTCTTGTTTGCCTTTGACCTCTCCGCTATGTCCGCATTTAACCCGAGCGGACCTATTATTTTCCTGATGGCACATTCATGTCACAAATGAAAAATATTGAGCACAATGGTGCGAGATACGAGCGAGGGGAGGTGGCCGACAGATATTTAACCAACCGATCAACGCCTCCGCTTGTGTTTTGAGATGCGATCGTCCTCGCGGGAAATAAACTTGTATCTGGAAGCACCGCTGTCACTTTAAGCACAGTGTGCATGTGTGCGCACGTGTATTCCCTTGCAGCTGTTTTGCGCTCTTGTAGCTGTCCGCATGCGCGCAAGTTAGTGTGCTGCGGTTACAACTGGCGCATATTCAGCTGCCGTTTTTTTTTTTTTGTTGTGTTTTTTTTTTTTTTTAATGGATCGGCTCGTCTTGTCTGGAAGTTTTTGGCGGTCTCATCAGGAGCAGGTGGGGTGAGGTGGGAGCATTTGAGTCTATAGGAGTCCCCGCGTGCAGTCAGAGCACCTATATTTCCTTTTTGCCACTGCCCTGGTCAGAGAGCGCATGCAGCCACTCCGCGATGTAGTTTCCATCCCATCATCCCTCATCTCGTTCTCTCTCCCCCCCTCCTTTCTCCTGACTCTGGAATTCCATCTTCAAACTGCACGTGGCTGGCACTCGGGCAGCGTGCATGCCTGCTTGTGTGTATTTGATCGGAAACTGTGAAATACGGTGTGTGTGTGTGTGTGTGTGTGTGTGTGTGTGTGTGTGTGCGTGTGTGCGTGTGTGTGTGTGTGAGTGTGCGTTGTCTTTTGTGTGTGTGTGTGTGTGTGAGACATGCCAACAAGTGTGGAACTCAAGATGCTTTTTGTAGCTGACTTTAATGTGATGAAAGTAGAGTCCAGATCGATGAATCGATGACATCATTAACTTTTTTTTTTTTTTTTTGCACCATAGACGGGTTTCAGTTATGGGGTACTGCTGGTATGAATCTTTTAAGACTCGGAATAGTCACAGCTAACGAGGCTAACTGCTATTCTCTTCCACCACTGGTTTGTTTTCATGCTCCTGGCGTACTAGTCGACTCATCGGATCAACGCCACGTGTGTACTGCTTTTTGCCGCTATAGTCTGTCCATACAGTCATCACTGTTCCCCATTCAGGATTACTATTCTACATTTCAATGTCAAGCTTTAAATGTCGCTTTTGAATAGTGAAGATGACTTGGTGGACTCGTCGACTAATCGGCTCGACCCCTTGTGTTAACTGCTTGTTTCTGCTGTACATTGTCAACAGATGAATTGCGGCTCACCATTCGGCATTACCGTTCGACGTTCTGTTCCATCACAGATGTTAAGCGTGACAAAAAAAAAAATTAAGGATACAAATATTAACTACTTTTAAAAACCTGTTATAGGGCGTATGATCAAATCCTGTTCACTGTGCTTTATATTGCACATAGTACTGCTAGCTTTTAGCATTACGCCCCTTTCGAACAACATTAGCACCTTTTATTGTTGTATTGTTATTTTACGATTATAATTATGCAAGACATACATACCTGCTTCCCGGCCTGATCGTAACCCGTGCCGGTTTGCGCATGCACGCACTAAGCGTGCACATGAGGCGTGGAGGTAGTGTGTGCTCTCCAATCCCATCTGCTTGACACAAGTGGGGGGACAGGGGGTGTAGTGGTGGTGGGAGGGAGGGAGGGAGTAGACGAATAAGAAGGAGGCCAGATCAGGCTGAGGGAGGTTGCTGGAGGGGTGGGGGTGCGCTGGTGTGTTTCTGTATATGTGTGCACGCATGCATGTGTGCGTGCAGTTTAGAAAAAGGCAGTGAGTGAAAGAAAAAAAAAAACCTGGGGGTTGGGCTCCAAGCTTGTGCATGTGTGTGCGTGTGTTTGTGCGCGTGTGCGTGAGCTCCCTCTGTTCCTTTCCTTTCTTTGTTTGACTACTGAGTGGGAGAAAAAAAAACAAACGAGACACAATATTGGGACAGGGTGAGGAGGAGAAAACACATGAGAGGGGAACCATTTCCAGGACCAGTGTCACGCTTTTTTGGGGGTCTTTTTTTTTTTTTTTTTTTTTTTAAACAGAAGACAACAAGGACTCCTGTGAGCGAATAAGGACACGATTATTTGAACAACTACTAGATGCTTTTGACTACAGTGTCATTTCTGTGAGTGCTTTAGTGCCTTGGCTGGACTGTATTTGTGTGTGTGTGTGTGTGTGTGTGTGTGTGTGTGTGTGTGTATGTGTGTGTGTGTGTGTGTGTGTGTGTGTGTATATGAGAGAGAGAGAGAGAGAGAGAGAGAGCTAAGGCAGTGGGGGGAGGCAGCCTGAGCAATTTAAAGGGAAAACACACAGCACACAAAGCTGGGAGAGCAGGGAGGCAAGCCGGCAGCAGGAACGCCGCCGTAGAGCTGCTGGAAATCTGCTGAGCTGGCTGCCACTTGAGCCGACGGAACCCTTTTGGATTTTTTTTTTTTTTCTTTTGGACCTTGTCGCTCCCCCTCCCCGTCGTCTCCCATGGTAAGACGAGCTCTCGTCTCCTCGCCGGCCGGTCAGCCGGCCGGCCCTCAGACAAAAGCCGAGGGGGAAAGTTGTGAAGCAGATGGGAGAGGAGCTAAGCTAGCAGGCTAGCTGGCAGGAAGGAATGCCGCACAAAGGGAGCTTGTGTGCTCCAGCTGGGTTTGTGTGTGTGCCTCTTTGTGGATGGAATGTTTATGTCACGGGGCATCCCAAACTTTTGCATGTGAAGGGAGCCAGAAAGCATTGCGGAGCACTCTCCAAATTGTCTTGAAAGCAGGAATTGGAACAAAGGAGAAGACATTTAAATCTCCCCCCGCTCAGTCCTCACAACGCATATTTTCTTTCTTTTCTTTCTTGCACATTCACTCAGCCCCCAAGCCCTCCTGCTCTTTTTATTTCTGAGACCTGGTGACATCTTCCCTCTAATCTGAATTGATGAGGAAGTACAGGGTGTTGTGGCCTTTAAGCATGTTCTGATCACTCGGTCTAGTCTGTGGTCAGCATTGAGCTAAAAGTAGCCAGCGTTGTGTGCATGTGCGAGTGTCTTGTGTGAGAAACACAACACTCGTTCTGCTGTCTGCCTGGAGCTAATGAGCCGTGTGTGTGTGTGTGTGTGTGTGTGTGTGTGTGTGTGTGTGTGTGT